AGGTAGTTAGTTAAGTAAATAATAAATTAGTAGAGAGTGTAGAGAGAGAGAGAGAGAGAGAGAGAGAAATTCCCCAATTTTTTCGAAATCTATTTTTAACATTGTCATTTTTTTTTAATTTTTCCTAATTTTGTTTTTTTTTGTTACAAAGAAGAATGTTTAAGCTTTAATTTGAATTTCCTTAATCACATTACAATAACTTTCTGCTAAATTATCAATATTGAAAGATGTTAAAAAAATTTGTTAAAATTTGGTGACGTGTTTTCTTTTACGGGTTGATATGTGAAATATATAAAGTAACACTGAATAAGTGGTTGCACTTTGGTAGTATATTCTATTCTTTTTAAGGATGAAAAAAGATCATATAGATATAGATTCGGAAATTCTTCCTTTCCTCCGAGATATACACTTTTTGTTTCAGATAAAGTATTTTAATCCTTAAAATTTATTTAAAGGAGAATTGCTGAAGATGATTTTCTTCTGCAACAATACACGCTTTACATCGATGCTCCAGAAACTGCTGGAGACGTTCAAAAATTCCTGATGTATTCCAAATTTTATCACATGTGATATCCGATTCTTGAATATTTCTAGACTATTAATATTATCATAAACTTTTTAGATATTTCAACAAATACAAATTTACGACAATCTATTGACAATTATTTATGAAAAAATATCGCTATGAATAACATGTGTTTATATCTTGGAAAATACGAATTTTCGGTCTTATGTTTATACAATTTTCTACATTCCTAGAAAAAGTAGAATACACTACCAGAATGGGATCATCTATTTCAATGTCACCCAATATACAAGTTCATCATATTAAAAGAAAAGAGTATATAAAATATAAATTTAGAAAATATATATCATGTCATCATTACTATCTATACATATGTTATGTTATTACTATGCATATATGAAATACTTATACCAAATAAGAATGTATCAATAACATTATATAACAAATAAAATATATATTCTATAACTAATAATTGATTTATTGTTATTCAAAAATTTTATATATTTTATTCGTGTGTGCATGTGTGCGCACGTGTATGTGTGAGTAAATGAGTGTATGTATAGATACGCGTGCGTACACGCATCCTTCTCCAAATTATGTTTAAATTATTATTATTCTATAAAATTATATATAGTTTAAATTATATTAAATCATTTTCGGCATATCGTTATAATACGAAAATAGAATCGCAGTTCTTTATTCCTTATAATTATAATAATTATTTATAGAATATTGAAGACATTGAAAATTATTGATACCTCTTGTTTCACAGTTGGAACGCGTTGTCACCTTCAGTTTTCTTATGTGGTACCATATAATGATTTTTCCGTCTTGAAAAACTAACAATATAATTTAACTTCTTAAATTGTAAATAACATAAAGTCTAGTTATATAATCTACGGTTTTTTACGCATTTTTACCTTTAATTTTCTTGCATATAATTTTTCGTCTACTTCTTCTCTTTCAAAAAAAGAAAAAAAAAACATACACATATATACATATATACACGTGTAAATATATGTATATATAAATGTATATATTTATAGAATGTATATACAATACACGTGCAATAATATAATTTAACTTTATATAAATTATATAAATATAGATTTTATACTTAGATAATAGTAAAAAAAATATGTATCCATAATATATGTATCATGTAGTAATAAATTATCATCTTCAGTTTTCTTGTATATAATGATTTTTCGTTCGTCTATCTTGTTTCTCGCTTTCACTCAAGTGCATGCATACGTGCATGCATATACTTTTCGTGCAATATCATTTTCTCCTGTGCTATTAGTATAGAAATTTAAATTCAATGAAGGTTCATTGATCTAATAATTTTTATCTATCTAAAATTCATTACATTAAAACACTTACACTTACACTTTTAAAAACAAATGACAAGACATTCAAACAATCTTATCATAAATATAATGTAAACTAAATTTTTAAATAGAAAGATAAGTTTTATAAATTTACTCTCAAACTCTTTTCTAAAAAAAAAATAAACTATTACTTACAAAAAAAGCTGAAGATGATAATTCTATGTTGAAAATCGAAGATGAATTAGATTTTGCACTTGATTAAATAATCGCTAAGAAATTTAATATTATACAATTTTCAAGAATAAAATAGACGAAAATTCATATTCTATATAAGAAAACTGAAGGTTTTATAGGCAGACATTTTTATAGATTAGTTAATCCATTTTATAATCCATCGTCAAAAATCAATATCGTATATCTACTGCATAAAACTTAATTTTATTGAAATTCTAATTACCTGATTCGAAGCGATGAAATCAGGATAGTATATACTCTTCCTCGGTCGTAAATGAGTCATGTGAGCCCGTAACTGTAATTGGAGGTTTCGATCCAATACTTTGGCGCGCGTCATGGCTTCCGCGAGATTTACGTCTGAAATATCCCAACCATCGATCTCGATATCGTTGGGATTCACCATAGGCAACATGCTGGAAATGGGCACATAAATGTCTCCACCTTTGATACTTCTACCTAATTTTACGGTAGACGCTTGCGTTAGAGAACCGTACCTAGAAATGATAATGAAAATGGAATATAAAGAAGTGATAAAGCCACATATAAAAAGAAAGTAGTATAGACGCGATAACGCAAACTTGACTAACAATAATTGTAAAATTAATATAGCGCAACTCATCGTATCTCGATGTATGTGGAACTTCGATGGAATCTATATGAGAGAAAGTAAAAACTCTTAATACATTTCATTTCTAATATTATATTCACATAAAGCATATCCTCTTTGCAATACCACATAACCGATAATTAAGTTTTATTAACGCGCACGCGTGTGTCTGTGGGTGCGTGTAATTATAATTATGCAACGTAATAAAAATAGATACGCAAGATGGACGTACAAAACTTGCAAATCTCACGTTTGATCAACTTGCTCGCGTACAGAGATCAGCAATATTTTATATGATCTAACGATACGATATAATAGACAAATAAATTCCTGAATGACATACCAGTTGGCAGTCTTCAGACCTTCTTTCGTCTCCCATGATAATTTATGTCTATTCGCTAGCAAAGCTGCTGTCATAGTGCTGCCGTTGTTGCCACCCCAGCCCACTAGCATCAGACCCACCTTTGGGACTTTTATCATGGTTCTGATCAGCAATTTCGTCAACGTAGGTGTTACCTGTACGCGAAAGAACAATTTACAGATTGAACCAAAACAATCAAAATTTTTCTGTAGTCTTCGTAAATCCAACAAAAAAGAGGGAGAAAACGAGAGGGGAGGTGATATGCAAAACTTACATACAAAATTACAATATGAATTGTAATTGCAAAAGAGAGATAGGATTTTTATCTCAATTGAGTCAGACTTTTTATACAAGTTTTTCATAAAAGTTTGTAAAATTTTTATTTAATTTTAATTTCATGTGTAATTTTGTCTTTTTTCTAATGTATACAAAATGCAGTTACATGACAGGGGACTTAGTTGCTAAAACTTTTGGAGAATATTAGTTTTAATTAGATTAAGAAGAAGAAAAGAAACGCATGTTTTCATTCTTATTTCCTATCCGATTGAAATAATGTTCAAAGAGAAGAGAAAAAGAATAATTTAACGAAATAAAATTATATAATAATCTTGATAACACACACATATCCGGATGTGATTGACCAAAATAATTGCGATCATAGATATAATATGGCAGAAAACGAATCGTAAGCGTTTACGTTTATTGTAGACGTAGTAAGGTAGAGAAAAAACTATAAAGAAACAATATATATATATATATATATATATATATATATATATATATATAAAATGAAAGATTATTGGATGCGAAAAATGATATTTATATATACGTTTTTCTCCGCCTTATTCTACATCCACGTTTACGATAAAAGTAAGCGCTTATGTCTCGCCCTCTGCCATCAACTTATATCCATGACACGCTATATCTATGTTATAATTGAACTTCGTCTGAACAAAGAAAAATGTTGTGTTGATTAATTAAAAATACATACATAACTTTTGTATAAATAATGTAACGCGTAATTCCTAGCCACAAAAGGGAAACGTAACGCGCACGCATTATATTGAAATAACCTGAAATTAGAATGTACATATGTTTGTAATATATTTGTTTTTGTAATGTTTGTAAATAGAATTATTATAATAAACAATATTTTGTTTGTAAATATTATGATGAATATTGATCTAAACTTGTCAATATTAAATATTAATATTAATATTAAAATAATGTGCTAATCATGTGTCATGATTTTCTAATGCAATGCAATTCTTAATAATCTTTGTTGACTTTATATGAATGGATAAATATACGCAACATTAATGCGACACACACACACACACACACACACACACACACACACAAAAATATGTATATATGGATGCATATATGTATGAGAAATTACCAGGATTGGGTAAGTTAATATTATTTTTTAATAATTAAATTAAAGTTAATATTTTATAAAAATTTATGTAGTTAAAAGTAACACGAACAAAGAATTAACTCAGTTAAAAGTTGCATTAAAATTGAATTAAGTTAAATTAAATTAATTTTAAAAAGCATTATTTATATTAAATTAGAATGTCGTAATTTTTTAAGATTAAAATATTCTAAATTCTATATTCTAAATAACAAAACAATTACAATATGGATCAAATAAATTTTATTTCTAAATTAAGTTTATATGAAATTTATAAATTTTTATAAATTTATATGAAACAAAGAAAAATAGTTTTTTTTTTATGTAGAATGTGTTTTTTCTTTTATATTTTTTTCTTCTACATAGGTAAATTTTTTAAGAAAAAAGTTAATGAGTTAAAGTTTGTGTTTTAAAAATAAATAATTAGTTGAAATTATAAATTAATTCATTTAAAATTAATTAAGTTAAAAATTATTAACTTTAACTTTTTTAACTTTATTAGTTAAACTTATTTAATTTTTTATAGTAACTTTTTTAACTTTTAACTTTTTAACTAGTTACTGTCCAACTCTGGAAATTACATACGTACGTGCGGACTTGCAAAGTTCGATCTTATGTAGGGCTTCTACAATGATCTAGAACAATCTCAATCGAATAATGTCGCTTATATCTCGACACATTTCAAGGTTTATCATATACATTTGAAGGGTATATGTGTCGCTTGCACTCTCCCTAGCTCTCTATAACCGCTCTTATAACAGTGGAAGAAGAAATACAATAACAAACTTTGACAATCTAAACGGTCGTCTAGATTAGTTATTCTTAGAGGAAAAAAAAGAAGGAAAAAGCAAATCTGCAAGAAAACATATCAAGACGTGTAAGAAACAAAGTAATGGCCTAAAATCAACGCGCAATTTGAAAAAAACTAATGCATGACGAGTTGAATTTTATTTATATATGATATATGTCCATGATAAATAAAAGATTAAGTTTCTCTTTGTGATTAAGAAAAACATTTTTTTTATCAATTTGCAGTACAGATATTATATTATTTCTTTTAGCAAAGAAGTATATTAAAATTGATTATTATTTATATATGTAACAATTTTTCAATCTTTCATCAATCTAAGATACATCTTTGTAATTATTTATTAAATCTCAAATTAAAATCTGTTAAATTCCATGTGATAATAAACTTTATCTGCGTATAATCTGTGTATAATAAACTTTATCTATGTGACTCATAAACTTTATCAGTTTAAATCCTTCCATCAGGTTAAATCCAGTTTTAATCGAAATACATATCTCCTAAAGTTAAATGTCTATTTTTCAACAATTCAACATAAAAATTATTAATGATTCCAAATTTTTATTATGATATATAATCGATTTTAAATTATTAGAAAGAACAAAGAATTTCATCATTAAAAAAACATCCTGTCTTTCTCTCGAAAGGTGATTGTTATGTGTTGTATATGTGTGTACAAGGATCGTTACAGCACAACGGAAAGTCGATTTTCATCTTGAATGAGAGTGAGCAGAAAGAGAAAGAGAGAGATTCGAAGAGTCTGGAACAGACTCGATATTGACCGGCAGGGGCGGCGGATACGGCGGTTAACGACGCAACATACTCGGGACAAATGTGGATGGCTCAATGAATGGATTCTCACCGTGTATGTATGGCAATCATTTTCGTCGTTCTCGTTGTTTTCGGTCACATTAATCGTTTGATATTCGTACTCCGCCTCGATGAAATCCTCCGAATATCGTATCCTCGGCGAGTCCACGCGCACCTTCAAACTTGCCATCCTTCGGAATATAACAAACAAACGGGGAACGAACTGTAACGGGAAACGAATGTGTAGGGCAAGCTGAAACGCGAATATATCGTAATTCAGTTGCAGTAAAATAGGCGCTGGTAAATTCCGAATATCGATCTGAGGTTAGAGGTCCAGAAAAGAGAAAGCAGATCTGAAATTAATCAATGGAATTTGTTACATTTAAATTCAGTTATTATCGCGTGGAAACCCTCACCCTATTTAACACGCGTAAGACATTTTCGCGCGCGCTTACGGATACGGGAGCATTGTTTTTACAAAGATTAACGATCATTTTCAAATTTTTTTCGAAAAATCGATGATCTTGATATTATTATCTCGTTTATAAACAACGGAATGGAATCGTTGATCTTTAAGATTTTTCGAACAATAAAACAAAAACAAATTCGAACAAAAAAAAATTCGAACAATATACATTCTGTGAGACGTATCGGAAATTGCAACTCACCAAAATTTACTGGTTAATCGATATTCGCGCGTATTATTCGACGTAATTCACGCACTGACTTTTTGACTAGCGAGACAAAATAAGCGAGCGATGAATACAACATACGGCGAATAGAAAAGAGACGCACGAGTCACAGCTTAGATTCGGTCGAGCTTTTGCGACGGTTGCCAAAACGTAATTGCGGCGCGACCGTCGTCGTCATCGTCGATGTCGACGGTCTTTAAATGTAGTGATAGGGGTCGAATCAAAAGAGGGATGCGATTACGGAGACCTCTCGCAGAAAATTGCGATACTACCGTATTCGTATTCGTACTACCATATTGGTATTCTACGCCTATGCTTCCTCCGTTTTTCTCGTTTTTCCTGCAGATAATTCTTTATACGATTCTTGGTACGATTCTTGACATGATACATGATGTTTCAATTATTGTAACACAAGTTTAGTTAACTCTCCAAAAAAGAATTGAAGAAAAAGTAAAAGTAGAAAAGAAATTGTATTATATGATTGTTAACAAAAATGCCACTGTAAAGCTTATAAGCTTATGGTATTGGGTACATTTTAACGTTGATTAGCGCATTTTTAATTTGTCGATAATGTTACGTGAAAGTAAATGAAATATTCTAAATTCGATACGATTGCAAAAATGTGATTTTGATATTAATCTTGTGCAGAGTTTTGTAAAGTATTTTGCATTGATCTTGCAAAAACTTTAGAACTCATCATAAACGTAAAAAAAAAGCATCTTATGTTTTGACAAATGTGCTGGGAGATTAAATACATGTTAAAGTCTGTCATACATAACAGTCTGTACATTTACAATTAAGTTTTTATACTTGATAATATATCTCTGCTGTTAATTTGTTACTTTGGATATTTTTTTTTACCTTAGCTTTTAGAAAGTATAAGACCACAGGCTCTCTGTTTACTAGCGTTCACAAAAGACAAGAGACGAAAGACGATAGATCATATATCACGTAATATGCGTATCATATACATATAATGTTACGACTTGTGACATCGCGTGCTTCTACATTCGAGTTTCTTAAAATTTATTATTCAGAATCTCTGAATCAAAATTTGTATTTCGAGTAATAATTGATAATAATCATTACGAAAGAATATATCGATACGTAAAAATACATAATAAGCGAAATTTCGTACATATATTCGTTTATCGTTTTGTTATATTCTTCATTATAAAAATTAATTTCTTTTTTCTTAATCGTTACACATGTTGTACCATCTATGATACCGAGATAATTTCTCAAAAACTTTATTCTTTTCTAGACTCAACTAGAAACAACAGTCGAAAAGAGTAAAAGAAAAAAAATTCGCATATTTGAAGAAAAAATATTTGGAGATATTATTTCAAAACGAATAAAAAGAAATAATTTCATCACAAATTCAAATATACGCATCGTCGAGTCGCTTGTTCATTTTATTATTTATTGTTAATCGAGCAAAGCACGAGAACAAAAAAAAGAGGAGATAGCGAACGTTGATTGTAGCCGATAGATAAGCGAATGAAAAAGAACGAGAGGGAAAGGAGGCAAGAGGGGTAGCATGGCGTGTAACGATAACGTACAGGAAGTGACAAGTTAAGTCAGCATCCAGTTACGCATTGAAGATTGAGTTTGTGCGTCTGATGGGCAGTAGAAAACTGTTATACAAATGGTGGTGGACACCACATTTTGTCTTACAAAAGAGATGGAATTTGTTAAACTTTATAACCGGATAAACGATCATGTGACATGATCTAAAATTCTTTGATCTTTAATCGTAATGTAATCTCAATTTTTAGTATAAAAATATGGCAATCAAGATTTGAGATATATCGAAGGACTCTGCTGGTATAGAAAAATCTAAATATTCATATTGAAGAAAAAAAGAACGATATCTATAGAATACACAAAATTATTGCATGAATGTCTCATTTTAAAATTTGGTGCGATTACCATGGCTACAAAATATATAAATATCAATCAATTTTGTAATTAAACTTAATTATTTTTAAGTAAAATTTGTCATATCTAAATAACTATTGCTTTCTGTCTCTCATTCGCCCTTTTTCATGTATAATCGTTGCAAGTATTTGTTAATTCTATAATCTCTTACAAATATGTACATCTTTATTGTCAAGAACAAGAAACATTTGAAATATGAATTGAAGTCTCTAATCTTAATGAGGCGCGATACTTGATATCCTAACATCGAATGCGAGCATGAAAAAATAAAATTGAATTAGACAGTGCACGATTAAACTGATCGAGTATCTAGATTGAATACACATGATTTTTTTTTACGACAAAAATGTCTGCGGAATAACATTCTTTTAATCTTCACTTACAAAGTATTGTGTTAGAGATTAAAAATATTATCCTTGATTTATAATATAGAACTTTGTTACGTTATTTAATCCATTAACTAAAATTTTTTTGTATTGAAAAAACAATAATATATATATATATATATATACATACCAGGCGCGCGCGCGCACGCACGCACAATATACATATAATTCAATAATTACAAATTAAAAAGTTTATTTAAAATAGATTCTTCGTTCACATAAAACGTGCTTTAGCTTCTGTAAATACATCTTATTAAAATGAAAGGAAGAAGAAAGTACAAAAGAAGAAAGAAAAAAAAACGGGAAGAAAAAGAAAGAAAATTCGAAACTGATCACAAATATGATATTCAACTCGGGGCAATTGTCCGATTTTCCTGATCGATTATTATAAATGTAGGAATTCTGTAAGATTCTTTGCAATTCCACAATTCGTTGTCATCATTAAAGGAGATATTTGTCAATGATGCAGTTTGTCTCGATTTTGTTGACGGCAGCAAGAATATTAGTGATGTCGCCATGACAATGTGCCATACACTATGAACATACTGCAACAGAGTGAAAACGAAATACGAAATAAATCCCAAAGAAAAAAATAATGTTTTAATATAATGATGAAATATGCTGGAAAAAATAAATTTAATTTCTGAAGAAACATAAATGTAAAATTTAAAATTTAACATTTTATAACCTTCTTTCTAGAATTTGGAGTTTTGCAACATAATTTCGAAATATTCATATTCATCTTTATAATAATGTATAATTCTTTGAGATAAAAGATATTTGTAAAACACACACATTTTACACGTATGTACATATGAAAATGTACTTACTTGATAGTTTTTTTCCGTTTCGATGAAAGAGAACAGTAATAATCCTGTAATAGCAAGAAATAAACCTAATAGTAATCTTCGACTAGGTTTTTTACATTTTCTGGATAGAAAAGCACGATAGATATGTGTAAAAACCTGCAACGGAATGGTCCTGCCATTATCTCGTCAATTCCTAATGTTAATCATCCTAATGTTAATCATTTTTTAAATTCACATTTCTTATACACTATATATGCCTTATTATGCCTATATTCGTGTACTCGTATAAAGTTTTCATATATTTTGCTATATCGTTGATAGCGTTTATAAAATGTTGAAATGTGTCATCTTCATTTATTTTTTTTTAATTATTTTTTTTTGAAAAATCTGATTGAAAAAAATTATTCTAGATTTACCGGTATGATGACACCTAATGATAATGGTATTAGTATATTAATCAAACACATCCTGTCGATCTGAACTCCAAAAGTGATCACAAACACTCCCATCATATGGCACAACGGTACAAAAGCGATTGGTAATTCTGCCATTGCCACTAGTGTTACCCAAAACGCTAAAATACTTGAAAAAAAGTCGCTGTATTGTAAGACCTGTATCAAATAGATATATTATGTCATAAATACAAAGTACTAAAAGATATATTAAAGATCATCATATAACATCAATATGAGAGATAAAGAAATAAATTGAGAATTTTTTGTAAAATAGATATAAATAGGATGTAAATTCGAATACATTTAAAAAATAGAAATTTGACGATGTGCATACATATATACCTCATATTTTGTGATACAGAATCGAGCGCCATCTTGATCACATGCGTGATAAAAAGATGAGAATAGCATAGTGACCAAGTATACAAATCCTTCAACATACAGTTTCCGTTTCATGGCTATATATATGGCTGGCATAAAAAAGGCATTGCTTATGACGAGCAATATGATGCTTATAAGAGAAATAGCGGGTATGGTACTTGAAATGTCGGTGCAATTCCATCCCGTGTAACCTGAGTAATTAAAATATCAATCGTAGCTCATTAGTTTGCACGCATAATCAGATGTAATTCAAATTACTCTAAATCATATTATAAAATAAATCATATTAGAAAATTTTTCTATAAGAGACACATTACCGTATCTTATTTATAACAAAAAATAATTACGCGCTTCTTGCAGAAATATAAATGTTGCATCCATAAAGTAAGAAATGTTTCATTCATGCATGGGGTAAGATAAGATCGCGCAAATTAAAATTTAATATTACGATGATTCTAATATTCAAATTAATTATAATTCAATAGTAAACGAATATTACATTTTTACAACGCGACAGCGTGTATATGAAATGGTTCATATATAAAGATTTATATAAATAATTGCAACTTGTGATACATGAAATGCTTCCGAACAAAGTTATATGTATATTGTATCGATAAAAATGTGTAAAGTGTCATAGCAAAATAATATTACCTTTGAAACAGTTGCACGTCGCATAATGAATGACATCTTTTTGAATTTCTTGACAAGTCCCATAATTACCACACGGACTTTGGTCAGAAAACATACATTTTTTAGTACGTATATCAAATAGCATTGATATTTCTTCGACTTGACAATGCGCAGGTTTGCTATACATAAAATACATCATTACGATATATGATATACGGCAATTATATTCTCATATCATTAAAATTTCCAACAATTTCCAATAAATTCTTTAATCAGTCTCGCATCCAATTGTTCGATAGAATATGCTACCTTTTTCTAATATTCAATCTAATAATCTTTTATACATCAACTTTAAATTAAATACTTTGTTAAAATGATTTTTATTTGAAATTGCTAAAGAAATTTTTGTTTGGTATCATATCAAAAAATTCAAGAGTCATTTATTCTTAATAACTTTTAAACTCGAAAACTGATGCTACGGTATTTTATATGAAAAAAAATTTTCATTAAAATTAAAATTAAAATCAAAGTGAATTAAAGAAAATGCGGCAAAGCTTTTATATGTAGCGTGTTATATTATATAATTTAATCATTCAATTATAATAAGTATATATGTATGGAACGAAAGAGAAATTATCTTAAATATTTAATAGTATTTTATGTAACACATCTTTACTACACATCTATCATATCCAACTTTTTTAAAGGTTACTTACTTGTTATTATAACATGTCGCAAGGATAAGAATATACCACGTGTCTGGTTGTGGATACGCTATTAACAAACTCGCATTGCGCTTGTTCAATGATGACAGATTTATCGACAAACTTCCATTTTGACAAGAATGGCGATTTTCTAATTTGGGTATACGACCTCGTTGAATGCACATTGTTACCAGAATTGTTTGTATCAACAACAACTAAAAGATATAAATTATATATCTAACATTTAATCCGAATAAAATATGTCGAATTATTCTAAGTTTATTTCTTCTATTCTGAAACACACCGTGCTATTAAATAGTCTATTTTTCTTTTCCTTTTTTTTCCTCCGAATTTCCATCTTACATGGAATGTAATACCACATAGGATAGAAATTCAGCTTATTCTCGAACAAAATATTATATAGACTGAACTGAATAATTTTTCCTATCGCATTGTGCTTTATAATTTGTTATAATCAAATTCCTCTATTTCAAATTTTATCCATTTTATCATTTCAATTATTTCGTCTAAACTGAATTTCTTTTACCACATCCTTTTTTCACCATTCATATTTATTATTTGATTTCATATGGTATCGGTACATTTCATTTATTTTTTTTCCCTCTAAATTAAATGTGTTTAACATTTTTGTTCGATGTTGTTAGAACAAGCGTGGAGATCGAAGAGAAAATTTAGAATAAAACGCTTAGTTTCAATAAGTTTAAAAATACATTTACATAGAGAGGATAATTCGGTTTAATGACAATTAGTAAAAAGCAATTAAAAGATAAATAAAATTTTACCTTTTGTACTTCCAGATGTAAATTGATATCAAGTGTGCCACCGATATCTATCAATGGCAAAATGTTAAATTGCATCATCATCGGAATTATATCCGTTAATGTTAGCCTTGAATTTAACGACTCTTTGTCCTAAGAAATACCGATGATACACGGATCGTTAATACAAACCAGCAGATCAACATCAGTACCGGTATATCAATAATTTAAAGAAGAAAAATTTTCCAATCTTTTTTCCATGCGACGTGCATAACGAGATACATAATTCATCTTGATAAAAAATAGATATTACCTGTAACAGATAAACGGTTGAAAATGTTTTCGTGTGTTTAACACGAGCCAGTTGATACCTTGGAACACACTGTTCATCAGTCTCATGTCGCTTGCTTTTTCGATAAAATTCATTCGTGCTGTAGAAATCCAATTAATATTATCTTCTTTATAAGACCATTTTACGTTTTATCAGTTCTTTGTAAGTATCTAGTTCTGTT